CTTCTTCTCTTTTCCATTTTTCTTCCTTCCTTTTTTTTTCTTTTTTATTTTATTTTTTATTCATAGGATAGATCTTACTTATAAATCAAGCAAATCGTCAAAAAAATAGATGCATTTTTTAGTAATGTCTCCAGGGTTTTGCTAACTTTTTCAAATAGCTATCAATTCTTCCTTTTTTCATTTTTTTTTTAATTCCAAAATTTAACACGAAATTATAATATTTTGAAATTGAAAAAAAAAATGCAATTAAGAAATATTTGTAAGCAGCATTTTTCTCGATCATTGCATATTAAACATTTTAAAAATCATTGCATATTAAATATTTTGCTATAAATTTTACATCGAAAGGAATAATAGCAATCAAACAAATTAGTTCTAAATTTTTTTTTTTCCATTTTCATCATTTTCTACTTATATTATGCAGAAAAAAGTTTTTTTTTTGTCGCAAGTTTTTTTTTTCGAAATAATTTATCACATTTTTCAAAATTTTATATGCAATTTTTATCCTTCGATTTTACAATATGTTGGACATTTTACTTTTCTTTTAATTTTTTTTTTTTTTGGATTAATGGAAATGAAAATTATTTGCAGTAAATATGAAAGAATTTTTTCTATCCAAAATTTTTGCATGATAAAACAAAATGAAATGCATTTATTCCAGGCCTTTAGAAATATTAATTTCATAAAATAAATGAAATCTATTTATTTCAAACCTTTAGAAATATTATTTTCAATGATCAGACATGTTTTTTTAAAAAAAAAATATAAGAACTATTAATTGGTGCTAATTTCAGTAAAATTTAGCAGTGCTCTAATTAGAATTTTATAAGAATAAAGCAAATAAAGTTATCAGACATTTTTTCTATTGAAGATATTATCAAATATTAAACAAGAATTGTTGATAGTAAAATAAAATGAAATGGAAATAATATTAAAACTATTTAATTAAATGTAAATTACAAATTATCTAGCTAATGACTTAGCAAAATTGCAAATTTTATTAACCTAATAGCAATGGTTTTAAATTGTTTATTTGTTATAATAATTATTAGTTCAATAACGATGGCATGTTGTTATTTTGTTGAAAATATATAATCCAAATATAACGTATTATACGTGGTAATTGCGTATAATTTTGGCAAGTACTCAAATCAAAATTCGAAAGTTTTTTTTCCCTCACTACATAAAAGCTTTTTTTCTCAAGTTTTTTGTTCATTTAAGCATTAACTCACATATATGTAATTACGATTTTTTTTTTTTTCTAGGAATGCATAAATGTAATAGAAAAGGTTTTTGCAAAATTAAAAAAAAAAAGAAACTTTTTTTACTGAAATAATTTTTACTATCTTTTTTGAAAGTATGAAATCTTTTTTGTTCTTAAAAAAAGAAGAAATATGTGCGAAGTATTTATGAAAAATAACCTAAATTCATTTAAAATGACAACCATTTCCGACTTATTTTCTAAAATGATTGAAATTTCCTTAATAATTTAATCCTAATGAAAGGTAACCATTGCAAGAATTAAAAAGTCTAAGCAATGTATTGGACAAATATCATTGATGAAGTGTAAAATTTTGACAAAAAAAAGAGAAAAAGTTTTCAATTTGTTTAAATTAATTGAAAATTTGGGCATAATTTTTTGGATAAAATAAATGTTGCACCATTTTATCTTTTATGATTTTTTTGATTTTCAAAAATTAAATCGACGATTAAAGCATTTAATATTTAAAAGAAAGCATAAAATTTTTGAAAATTTCAAATATTTTTCTCGTTTATAAGAGCAAAAAAAAAAAAAAAAAGACTCATTTCATATTTGTTATAAAATGGTTTGTGTTGCCTCAATATTATTCCATTATTTATTTGACTAATTAAGCATATAAAATTTTCAAAACTAACGATTAATGAATTGGAGTAATTTATAAATAACCAGTTTAATATATGGCAAAATTATTCATGATTAAACTGTTTAAATCATGTAGGATTTGTTAATATGAACTTATTTGACAATTTAAAAAGTATGTAAAAAAATTATTAGCGCTTTAAAGCGCAAAAAGCAAATGGATTTTTGCGCTTTAAAGCTGAAAAATGATAAAAGGAATAGGAAAGAGGAGGAAGTTTTCTGAAATGTATAAATTGTAACAATTCAGACGATGTTTACTATCAATTGCACGAAGATTTTAATGAATAGTTTAAAGATATCAGTAACTAATTAAGCCATTAAATGATAAAATTTATTTTTGATTGGATCAGGAAATCCAATAACCGGATAATTTTGTTATCAACAGTATACCTACTGATGAAATGTATTATTGAATAAGAAATGATAATATAAAACTATTAAATATTCATTTAATAAAAATTGAAACGAATCTTAAAAATTACTAAATATGATTAACAAGGGAGGAACCCAATTAATTAATTAATTAATTAATTAATTTTACTATGTGATAGATTTGTGTATGTTTCAATTTTTCGCTTGTAGCATAATCGTACATAAACATACAACAACAAATAAGTTTTTTCTTTATAAAAAACAAAAAAAACTTAATTGCTAATAAATTACGATAACAAACCTGATAAAAAAAATCATCGGTCGGAGCATTAAGACGTAAATTTTTTAAGCATTTCATTGAATAATTCATCGTTAATTAAATAAATATGTAATCTGGAAATTTTTACTATTCAAATGATACCATGGATTAAAACTAATTTATCATTTATACAAATCCATTTAAATAAACACAATTAGTTTGCTGATAATTGTAATCAGACTAAAATGATTAGAAAAAGATTTGTAAATATTAATGGAATGAATATAAGATGTATAATGCATTGGGAAATTTAACAATATGCAAAGGGAAACGAATGAAGAGAAAAGTAAAAATGAAAGGGGGGGGAAAAAAAACGAAAAAAACCAGCTACTTCGATTAGAATTTATAAATTCATTTGAACTTATTCTTTGTAACGAATCGTTAATTAATTATCAACTTTTCTGATTAGTTTCTTTCTTTCTTT